GACGCTCTTGCCTTTGGGTCAGATGGGAATCAGTGCTGCAGGCTGGTGCTGGGCTGCCGGGTAAGCTCCCGGTCTGTTGTGGGATGACCAAGTTCCTTACAGGGCATTGTTTCCCCAAGATAGGGCGCCAGCTCTCCAGGTGGTCAGCCAACCACCCCGTTCCACCCCAGAAGTGGCTGCCCGACAGCAGTGCGCTAGACATGTACGTCCTCCTTGCTCTCCAGCTGCGGCAGCCAGCCAGAGTGCAGGATGTGCTCTTTGCTGGCTCCGTCATCTGACGTGACATCTCCTGAATTTTCTGGGGAGATATTCGGCTGGTGGCTCTTTCCCACCCTCCACCCCCTCCAATAATTTGACTGCCTTATTTTTGGCATTGGGAAGGAGCCTGACAATATGCATTGAGAGGCATTGTTTTAGGTCGCGGCGGTGAACGTTCGCTGCGAGAGGGAGGGAGGGAGGGAGGGCAGGCGGGCGTGAGAGCAGTCACCTCTCACAAATACTGCTTCGTCATGATGCTGGCTAATTCTCCTCTTGTTCAGAAATGGTCTGAGCCAGCAGGAGAGGTGGGGAGTGGTGCGCGCACACGCAAACACATGCACACACACACATACTCTCTGACTGGCTTTCTAAACCCACACTGCTATCACCACTCAGGGCTTTGCAGGCACTGCCTCTGGGGCTGGGAGATACACACACACACCACACACACGAGCATGCAGGGGACTAGCACACTCTCAGCTAGACCCTGACAGCGCAGCAGCTAGACCCAGCAAGGACAACTGGCTGGATTGGCTCTAATACTGCCAAGCCGGAGGCAGAAGGAGGGGAAGACAGGCGACTGCAGGCAGGGGAGCAGGCACTGGGCTCCTGGGGCTTCTTGTTGTTATTGCTCTCGGCTTGTTTTTCGGGCTGGAAAGCCATGCGGGATTCCTGGAAGAGGCTCCGGTAGCTCCAGCTGGGTGAGTCAAGCGCTCAGCTCTGCTATCTCATTGAGCTTGCACTTGGTCCCTGCCGTGGCCCGGCGGGGGCGAGGGGCGGGAGGCACATTCCAGGCAGATGCCGTTCCACGCCGGTGCCTGTTCACAGGCAGGGAGGCTGTGGGTAGCATCACCGGTGCCTCTTCCTGCCATGCTCGCCTCATGCTTCTCTCATTGCTTTTCTTACCCCTTTCCTGCCCTCCCCTGATTTATTTTTCCTCTTCGGTTGCTCAGCTGCTCTCCCCATCCCCTGGCTTGCAGCAGGCCTCTTGCTCCTCCCGGGCACCTGGGACAGGGGTGGAGGCCTCGAGGTTGGGCATCACAAATGGCATAGTTCCCATAAGCGCCCCGGGCATGACAGGGGCAGGGGGTTCTGGTGCCACAGTGAGGTTCGGGTGCATGCTGAACTGGCAGAGGGTTGCTGTGCCCGGGTTTGGGGGCTGGGCTAGGAAGGGAGAGCAGTGGGAATGGGCATTGCTGTCTGGGAGTGGTTTAAGTGGCTGCTTGGCGTGCAGTAAAAGGCCTGGGGTTGGGCCATTCGAGATGCTGGGCCAGGCAGCAACAACTGATGGGGTCACGGAGCAATGGTGTGTGCTGAGATTCCTGCGCCGCGCCCTGGAGTTGATATGTTTGGAAAGGAACAGGGATGTCCCTGGTTTCTGACAGCAAGGCAGCTTCCCCGGCTGCCCTTCTGGGTGGGCACAGAAAAGCCCTGGCTTTTCTCTCCCCACCCAGCAAGGGCACACCCAGTACTCATGGCAGGCAAGCCAGAAATGCTGCCCAGCTGGGCCCTTTGATAGCCATTTCCTCCTGAGATGTGTGTTAGTGACTAGTGGGAAAGCGCTAGCCGGGCATGCTGCCCTGACAGCTGCATGTCCCCCGCCCTGAGTGGGGCATGCTGCCCTTACAGCTGCATCCCCCCCACATCCAGCTGCAGACTCTCATAGAGCAGCCTGCCTCCTCCAGCTGTGCTTGGCAATGCCATTGTGTGCCCTGCTGCTCCCAGGGCTGTGATGGGTATGCATCAAGGGCCTGCAGCCTCACCAGGACAGTCTGTGGGCTGAGTAGAGCACTAGCAGCCCCCAGACTCACAGGAGAGCAGCAGGGTGTTGCCAGCAGTGAGCAAGATGTAGGAGCAGGAGGGAGGCAGTGGATGGGCTCTAGAGCTGAGTTGTAGGGCCAGGAGAGGACGTCTCAAGGGCTCTGGCCCCTTGGCCTGCAGGTCACAGAGCAGCCTGGGTCAGCAGTGAGCCACAGACGTGCCAGTGGGCAGCAAGTGTGCAGGGTCCAAGTAGGCCAGGGACCCCAGCGCAGCAATGCCTGCTACAAATAGTCCTCTCTAACTGGGCAGCAGCAGGCAGCCCAGGGTTTATAGCCAGCAGAGGCTGGACTCCGCTCCTGCTCCAGTAGAGGCAAGGCAGGACACCCCAGGAGCCGTGCTGGGTGGGAGGGGGCAGGCTCCTGCAGGTTGTTCCACCCCTCCTATCCCCTCCTCAATGGCAGCTGGGCCACGATGCCAGGCCAGTCCTGGAGCTGGACTCCCACTGCTTGCAGGAAAAAGGGCTCTTGGCTCACTGTGGGATGGGGATTCTCCTGGGATCAGGAGGCAGGGGTGGCCTTCTCACGTACCCAGCTCAGCCTGAGGCCTCCAGGCCTGCTCATAGGGATAGGTGTGTTGGAGACGACACCGCTCCAACCCCAGCCTCACCTGGAGTCACGCAGCTCCAGGATTTCACTCTGGCCTGTAACAGATTTCTGCTCCAGTGGTGGGTTGGGACTGTACAGCATCCCTAGGGCTCTGGTCCAGCGAGCTGGTACAGACCTGCTGGCACCACACCAGGAGGAGAAGGGAGCATGTCCCTTCTTCTTGTGCTGTTCTTGTGCATGAAGCTCGCTGGGGGCTGGGCTTGGCTGAGTGATCATTACTGGAATCCAGCCTCGCCTGTCTCAGTGTCTGCGGCCTGGTTGGTGATCATCCCTGTGTTGTTTTGCATGGCACTGGTGTGCTCAGGCTTGTGGCATGTAGTCCAAGCCCCCGCCCTGCAGAGCGTGCAGTTGTGGTGTGCAGGCATGGGGGCAGCTCGGGAAAGCCACTGGAAGCACTGAGTGAGCATCTCGGGGCTGCTTGCAGGGTCTGTGCCGCTGTCCCTGGCAAGGGCAAAGCCAGGGAGTGATGCTGAGTGCTTGTGGCTCTGCTCACCCACCTTGCCCTACAGGAGAGAGGTGAACAGGCCCTCGCCTCTCCATGCACCACGTTGCTTTTCAGCAGGCAGTCAGCTCAGAAACCCTGTTTGGTGACTAAAGCTAAGGTGGGGCTGACTGGGGGTGCCTAGCAGCAAGAGGGAGAGGTGGGCAGAGGTTATGGGGCAGGTCTGGGTACTCCACTGCTCCCTGTGAGCGAAGGAGGTCACACAGGGTTTGCTTTATCCTGGTACTATTGGTCCGGTTTGTGCTGGAGAGCTGGCCTTTCTCGGCTGGTGTGCTGGGGTTGATCTCTGCTGGCCCTGTCTGTACTGGAGGGTACGGCTGTGTGGATGGGAGCAGAAATGTTGCTCAAGCATGGCATGGACTTGCACCTCTAGTGTATGTGCACAGGCACATGTGTGTACTCATGTGTAAGCCTGTCCCTCTGGGGCTTTTCACTCTGCTTCTCAGCGCACAGGAAGCCAGAGGCTGTGCTAGCCCTGGGCTGTTTCAGAGCTGGAGCATGTACCCCTGGGTCATTAAACCCCTTTCAGTGCAACCTGGTTCTTGAGAGAGAGCTCCCAATCCCTGGGCACCTCCCACCAGTGTAGAATAAAAGGCAGCGCCTGCGCTGCTGGACCCCGCCTGGTTACCTCGGCTAGCCATCCCAGAGCGACCCACTGGCTTAGTGCTGGTGGTGCCAGTCAGGCCCTTGGTTGTGCCTGCCTGGATGTATTTTTTTGCAACATGCTACAAATGCTTTGTAATAAGGGCCGGGGAACAGGCTGGGAGCGTTAACAAGGCACTGCTGCTCTGTGCTCCGGGCAGGGAGCGGCCTGCCAGGGAAACTCGCCCTGCTGAAGAATGAGCCCCCGCCTCTGTGCGGGGGGATTCCCAGGGGGCTCTATGGGCTGAGGCCAAGCATTCAACCCCTGCCTGCCCAGCCCTTCCCACCCGGGTCGGGTTCTGCTGACACTGCAGCTTTGCCAACAGGTTGTAAAGCTAGAAGGGGCTGAGGGAGCCCGGAGGGAGCCAGGTTGGCTTTGAAGTGCCTCGGAGAACAGCGGGGCTGTTTCCTGCCTCCCAGCCCCACCACAGAGCCAGCCTGCTGGCACCAGCACCTTCTTGCCTGGCTGCCTGTTCCCAGCCTTGCCTTGCAGGGCCGTTGCTCTAGCTGGCCATGAGAGCTCAAGCCTCTGGGATTGCGATGCCTCCCCCGGCTGCCAGGGCAGGCAGGGAGCTCCTGCCCCCCACATGGTACCGCTGGGCTGCTGAGACCGCGGGGACCTGGATGCAGGAAGCAGGGGAAGGGGAGGCAGATTCATTCCCCCAGCCTCATTGCCAGACTCCAGGGTTCACTGGAGAAGGGCCCTGCACATAGTGGGGGTAGCACCACTCACTTGGGTGCTTGTACAGGGCATGCACAAAGTGCAAGGTACCGCAGGTGTGGACTGGCACCTGGCCCCTGCAGACTGAGAGAGAAGGGCCTAGTGCCAGTGCAATGCTCAGGAGCAGGGTTAGGGCACCGCAGGCTGCAGCTGACTGGGGCCAGGAGCTGGTTGCATTAGCAGCTGTCTAATAGCCAAGCAGCCCAGCTGATATAAGTGCTGGTTCTCTGCAATAAATAAGGGCTGAGCCTTTGCAAGGGGCTCCCAAAAGATGAGCCTATCCATGGTGCTCAGAAAAGGAAGGGGGAGCCCTGCCTCCTCCTGTGGCCCCAGGGTGCTTTGGGTGCCCCCGTCCTAGGATCTGGGGAGGGGGAGGGAGGCTGCTGGGGACTCGCTGCTGTGGACATATACACATGCCCCCGATGCCCCCAGTGCTCTGTCTGGGCCCTCCACTGCCCCAGCACCCAGCCCTGGCCTGCTTCCTCTCCCCCACACACCAAAGAGATGCTCTCAGCAGAGGCCTCCCAGCACCTTGCCTAGAGGATGAGCAGGCTAATCCCACTCTAAACCCAGATTACATGTCACATGGGCCTTCTCCGTGCCCCACTGCACCGTGGCCACCCCCTCTCCAGCATGCAGGGCTGACTAAAAGGGCATCAGGGCCGCAGTCAGACTCTGGCCATGCAGGAGCTGTGCTCCTGGTCCCAGCAGGGCCATTGCACTGGTATACAGGGGGATCAGGAGAGTGAGAGCCCCCTGTCTCCAAGGAACACCCTCAGTCTCAGCTTCTGGGTGTGAATGACTGTGCTGGGTCTGTGGGAGCAGGCAGCAGTGATGCCTTGTGCTTGCAAGCTGTGGGTCTGAGGCCATGTCTTACACCTGGGATCCTGACCCGCAGTGCCTGGGAAACCCAACCCTGTGCTTCAGATTGGGGTGCTGCAGCAAGGGCTTGAGCTGAAACACCTGCTACTGGGTGAGAGCGTTCAGAAACCAGGGACCGGGTAGGAAGGGCACGGCTGTCTTAGCTGCTAGCAGAGGTCAAGTCTCGGGGAGTGGGGCAGGGGGCCCAGACCCTGACTTCACTGTTCTCTGCTGTGGATCTCAGGGAAGCAACGGTCAGCACTCCTAGTGCATTGCAGGCATATGATGCAGATCCAGGTGGAGAAACTGAGGCACAGATGGGAGAAGCGACCTGCCTGAGCTCAGGGATAGAGCTGGGAAGAGCACCCAGGCCTCCCACTCCTAGTGCAAGGCCCTTTCCTGGGAGCAGGGGGCTGCTGATCTCACTGATGCAAACTGCCCCTGTGGAGAAAGACCAACTCCCTTGGCTGCCGCTCCTTTCCTCCTGCCTCTGTCTCTACCGGAGGGGGGGGGGGGGGGGGGGGGTGGAATCAGAGGGATCCGTACAGC